GTGAAGGTACAAAGTAAAAATAAATGAAGTTTTGAAGATTGCCGTTGTTATTTTCCATTCAATATTTTTGAACACCTCATCAGAAGGTGGTGTAACAAGCAAGCTTCAGGAGTTAAAATTGGCTGATAAAACAAAATGCCTCAAATTCTTACCTTGATGTGCTAAAGAGTTAACAGCTTCTTCAGCATGTGATAATCAACAGTGCTATCAATATAAAGATATGTATATCTGGTTACTGCAAAGTAGGTTGCTTGTTAAATAGACGAATCATAGGACAGCTGATATTGGCGTACCTGTTTTTGATTAATATAGTTAGGAAACAGGAATTAGCTGAATATAAAGAGCAAAGTTCAGCTGTGTTGATAATATTTTGGTGAGGCATGATTTTCAAAAATAGGAAATTGCTTTAACGCATGAACTAAGAGAATACAATGATCCAAACTACGAATGAAATGGTTCCAGGAAAAGGAAGCTTTATGGTTATTTTTCCCATCGGTTTCTTTCTGCAACATGAGCTATGGATAAAAAATATCTTGGCATTTGATTTTTTGGAAGAAATATGACCTCGTTTAGATTTTTTTAAAACAGTTTTAGTATAATATGTTATAAAAAATTCTCTTATACTTTTATCAATTGCTACACCTTAGAGTAAAGGTAAAAAAGTGTCATTATAGTTAACAGGATCAGTCTAGAATGAAAAAAGGTGAACATTAAAAGTGTCTGCTCAGGATATTAGTAAGTATTTCATTAGTTTACTTTAACTCTCTCAAGCCGGGCCTCTCGGTTAAACTGATGAAAAGTAAAGTAAAACATGGTTTTAGTATATAGATCATTAAAAGTGATAGGTTAGGTGATAACTGATTAAGATAGTGCATAATCGTGTTTTAAATTTACTTAAGAGGTTGTAATTAATAATTAGAGGAAGAAAAGAAGGTTGTGTGGTTTGGATAACTGATTAAAACAGTGTATAATCGTCCATTAATGTAACCATTAATCAGTATATCCATCTTGACGACTAATCTCCATGTCACAGCTAAGCTACTAATGTTTTTATTACATCTGATCATCATTGTACTGATTGAATAACACAATAAACAGTACAGCCAATAATACACATTACCTATCTGTAATTAGTATAAGTATTAAAAATTTCTAGTTTCATCAATACTTTGTTTAAATCCCAATAAACAAAGTACAATATATAAACTGAGCATTCAGTTATATTTTACTGTAAAAGTTGTTTACTAACAATTCACCTCTTCTTCAAATTAAGACATACATACTGAGAACTTCCCAAATAGTTTGTCTGTATCAGATATTTAATAAATAAACTTTGCAGTTTTTGTATTGACAAGCCATAAGAACAAATCAATACAACAGTTTAGCTATTTGTCAAAGAGTTGTCACCTAAGTACCTGAAGCCATAATAATAGACAAGTAATTTCTTTTACTGAAATTATTAACAGTGATGAGTGCATAAGCCATATGGAAAATAAATAATGTCTCTCTCTTTGTATGTGTTTATGTAAATATAAATTATAATAAAAAACATTACCCTCTTCTTCCTATTCTTTTGCTTTTTCTTTGTCTCACTGGTGAAATTCTTATAAGCTTTCACTTGTTTTTCCTTAATTAATGTGTTGATAATTTCTCTATATCTTTCTTCTTCTTCAACATCATACCCAGGCGTGTGTTCACTAATTTTATCCATGTCCCCTTCAAATCTCTCGTAGTAGGTCTTTAAATCTTCTTTTTCTTCCTCTGATCCTAAATTATAAATCACAACCTCTTAAGTACATTTAGTAAAGTTTTATTGATTAATGTGTATATATATATATATATAATAAATCAATAACTAATTTTGCTTAATGTTGCAATTTTTATGTATAACTAATAGAAAAAATAATCTAATATTGATTGTAATTACCCCAATAACAAATCAATATTGACTTGTTTAATTTAGCTAAGAAGCAATAACAAATCAATATTGACTTGTCTTATTTAGCTAAGAAGCAATAACAAATCCTTTGGATAAACTATCCTTTATGTAGTTTGATTTTTTTAGTCATCTCTTTTCTAATCACTGTGCAAAACTCGAAAAATAATGGGTCAGTAGTGTCCGTCAAGAAAGTGAGTAGGCAGAAAGACATGTACTATAGCTTAGAAATTTCCATTTCAAAGAGTAATCGTGTAATTCAGTTTAGATTATATGCTTGAATTTTATTCAAGTAGACCACACACACCAAAGGCCGAACATGCACGAGGACATATGATACATTATATCAAAAACTTTTTTCACTAACCAGCTGTCTTTGCCAGTATCTGGTCATACATTTTTATAATTGATAATTGCAGTCTAAAAGTTTCATGTCTGCACATTGACTGAGTTTTTGTATAGAAAAATTGTAAAGTCAGAAATATGGGGTATATTAATATAATTCAAATATCATTATCTCACAAGAGATTTGCTGTTTGTATTTTACAGAAAAATATGTGTGCTGTGTATAAAAACTCATTTCCTGTTGAAAGCAGGTGAAATTATTTTCCATCTAGAAGATAACATGTTTTTGTTTAGTTTAAATATTGTCTGCATTGTGAAAAATATTAACATTTCCCACCTACTGTTAACAGTGGTTTCTGCATTTTAAGTTTTTATTTGAAGGTTTATTACAGTGTATACACGCAACTACACATATAATTGAAAAATCACTTGCTGGTAGCTTGAGTAGCAAGATAATACTACTTTAGGTCAGCTCAAAATGTCCTTTGTAGTAAAGTTGTACATTTCTAAGTCTTTTTCACAAGGTTGAATCATTTAACATTACAGTGTTTGTAAGTCACATGATTTGTGTCTGTCAGTTAATTAACAGATCTGAAAATCTTATAGATGGACACAATTTATACTGAGATATGTCTTATGATTAATGTGTACAGTATTGAAAGGAATATATAAATACATACATACACACTTAGCAAGTAGAAACCTTTAAAATTCAAGTAATGAATGAGATAATATACTGTTAATAAAGATACAAGTAATCTATAATTACTTTGAACACAGGCTAGGAAATTTGCAGAGCATTGTTTGTGAAAATGAAGATTTTATCATAGATGATTAGTTTTTTAATATTTAGTTTGCTTACTTTGGCAAACTAATTTTAATAATAATGTTGTATTTCAGTACCTTGAAGAAGCTACAGAGGCAGAAGAATTAAAAAAACAGATGGGCTTAAGTGCAGATGGATGTGATATTTCTCTGGAACATGCTATCACTGCAAGGAATCAGTCTCGAGAAAAAACATTTGATAGCCTAATGAGTAGTCTTGAGGCTAAATACTGTAAACCAGGAAAACCTAAAGGAAGAGCTGGAAAGAAAAAATAAAACTAAAATGACTTTCTATAATGGATGATAATTTTGTAATATTTTACATCCAAAAATATTATTATCTTTATACAGCTATTGAACAAATAAGAATTTACTATAGGTTGATTTCACTGGGAGTTTTTTCAGCTATAAATTGCCCCAAATAACTTAAAATAGGCATCTAAAGCAAAAAAGTTAAAACAAACTGTCTAACCAAAAGATAAAAAATATAGTACTGTTCAGTTTTCTATATGTTTAATGTAATGGACTATCTGAAAGGATCTAGCACTATAAAGTTGAAAAAATACTTTGTAATCTTAAAATATTTGTATATTAACCAGTTACTTTAATTTTTTATCATGCAATTAAAATAATTGTCATTCTGAAACACTTCTGTTATTTGGCTATTGTATGTGTTTTGTGAAAATTTTATGTATATATGTTTTATGTATATTCCTGAAAAACTGAGTAAGTTTTTTTTCTCTTGAAAGTTTAAGATCATTATATGTGAAACTTGTTCCAGACACTTAAGGAAAAAATAAATAGCAGCAATACATTCTTAAACAACCCACTGAATTATACAGTTTATAAAGAGTAAAGTAGTGCTTAAAGTTGTTCATTAGCTAAGCTTTCAATTAATTTATTATATAAACATTAACTAACTCTACATGTGTGTGTGTGTCTTTGTAGATAGGTTTTTTTTGTGATATTAAGTGAGCTATCAATAACTTTTAGTTTAAGAACTTATTGTGGAGTTAATTGTGTATGAAATGAAATTTCTAATAAAAAGAAGTTGTTTAATTGTTGGTGTGAAATATACAAGACTGTTTCATTTGAATTTAATACAAGAGTTATGATTTAGATAGTTATAAAGCAAGAATGTTAAATTTAGTATTTTTAGAAGGGACAATTTATTGCAGATTTGTTTACATAATTGTTTATGAATCATTTGTTTTGTAGTTCAGATGATGTGAATTGACATCATGTTACTTCAACCATCTGAATTTTTCTCATTACTGTAAGTGAGTATTGTGACATCATAGTGTCTTCCTAGTTTTTAGAATGTTCTAGGCCTCAGTCAAGCAGTATGTATATATATATATATAGGTGATTAAGTTAGTGGAAGTAAGTGAAAGTGAAGTTAGACTGTGTGATTATCAGTGTAGCCATAAAGAGCAATTTCTAAAGTGAGTTTTACAACTTATATTCTATGTAATAACAGAAATAGTGGAGAATAATTTGTTTTGTCAAAGGGTGTTCTAAAGTGATTGAGCCTGCCTTTTTAGACTTTGACAAAAAGGATATAATTATTTAAAGCTCTGGATACAACTGTGATAACCAATAGTGTAAGCAATTTTTGCACATATGTTTCACTTGTGTTGAATATATTATTTTAAAACACTTATTGTTGAAACTTAACACCAACAAGTCACAGCACCTACTGTAAAGAATTGCAGCCCTATAAAACCTGACATTTGGCAAGCCAGCCAGGATTATACAGTGGTAAACGGTTGTAGAAGAAATTGTGAACGACGGCAGAAATAGCCCTATTTATGCACAACTGTAGTGGTGGAGAATATAGTGTACAGATTACAATCGAGTTATATAACCATGTTGACTAATTTTGATAAATGGAGATAGGTGAGTAACTTGGGCTAAAGTATGGAGATCTACAAGAGTTTGTTAAACAACAACAGGACCTAAGGAGAGAAGAGTATAGGTAGAGAAGAAAGGAAGAAAGACAAAAGGAAACAGAAAGACTAAAAGAAAAGACTAGAAATAGAGAGAGAGAGAATACAAGTACAAATTGAGAAAGAAGAAAAGTAAAGAGAAGAGAGACTACAAATAGAGAGAATAAGAGCACAAATTGAGAAAGAATAAAAACAAAAGGAGAGAGAGACTGGAAATAGAGAGAATGACAGCACAAATTGAGATGGCAAAGCTCACCTAACAGAAAGATGAAGGACCCAAGAATGTCAATGGGGTCAGGGCCAGCTGACTGAATCTGCTCAAATTTGATGAAGAGAAAGATGACATCAATGCTTTTCTGGAGAGATATGAAGGATTTGTCCAAAGTCAGAACTGGGACAGAGGCGACTGGGCAGTCTGTCCCAGTCCAATCCTCACAGGAAAAGTCCTACAAGTGATGGAGGCATGATGTCACAAGATGCCATGGACTATGACAAGTTAAAAGTGGCATTGCTGAAATGCTATGAATTTACTGAGGAAGGTTTTCCGTAGAGATTCTGAGAAGTAAAACCTGACATTGGAGCAATTGTATTTCAGTTTGTGGCACGGCTATGGAGATACTTCACAAGTTAGACTGCTTGATTGTCAGTTTAGCCATAACAGGCAATTTCTGAAGTGAGTTTCACAGCTTGTATTGTAATAACAGAGATAGAAGAGAATAATTTGACTTGTCAAATGGTGTTCTAAAGTGATTGATCCTGCCTTTGGAGATTTTGATGAAAAAGAGACAATTATTTAATGCTCTGGATACAACTATGATTACCAATAGTGTAACGAATTTTTGTACATATGTTTGACTTGTTTTAAATTATTTGAAAACAAGTGGGTTATGTGGTGTCCATTTATTGTTGAAATTTATTGCCAGTAAGTCACAGAGACCTACTGTAAAGAATTGTGGCCCTATAAAACTTGACAGGTGGATATGAACTTTAAATTAGACGCTAAATATACAAGCTTCTTCACTATCAGATTAATTCACCCATGTGGTTGTCCCACATTCTTTATGGTATATTGATTCATATTTCAAGCCAATTTGGGTTTACTCAAAAAATTCATTACAAGAATTTTTCTGTAACAATTATGCAGAAAGTTATAAATTAATATCTAGTTAAAGAACAGATAACAATCTTTAATCAGGCAACAATTAATGGGTATTACACAAAAAAATCAGGACTCCCACACTTGCTTGTTTTTAAGTACATTTCAGGTGCTTAAAAATGTTTAGATTTTGGCTTTTCTTGAAAAAAATGTTTGAATTCTAATCCATAAAAAAAGTTTGTCAGACTTGTGAAATGGTGGATATCTATGGTACTACTGTATAATGTCTTTTTGTTTCTGTATAGCCAAATATTCTACAAGACATGTTGGTTGTTTAAATGGATTATTATACAAATATTTCAGTAAATGAGGCTGATTCAAAGTTCCATCCCTATTTCAGTGAATTCCACAAGTACCCCAAATCTTGAAATAAATTCAATGAGAAGCTTCCTTGCTAGGGTTTCTGCTTAAGAACAACATTTGTTTCTGGCCACTTGGTGAAATAGTCTATCATCACCATGATGAATTTTATGACCACTTTTACTATGTTGTAGAGGGCCAAACACATTGACCTCATCTCTGCTGTTAGCACTGAATACAGCAGATACATTGTGGTTGATATATTATTATGCGTTTCTCTATTTTCACTCAGAAATTCTTGTAATTACTATTCTTGTCTTCTCCAGTTGATGATGCAGTCACTTGATCTGCTCTGAAATCAAGAAGACAAGCTTGTTGGTTTGCCAGCTCTTTGAATGATGCATAGGCAATTCAAGTAAACAATAAATAAATAAGTAATAATGATAAACAATTTGGTGTTAATATATATATATATATATATATCTTTGTATTAAAAATTATTTAATACTGATGTATAGTGACTTACCAAAATGATACAAATTACACTTCACCAGCTTAATCCAGTTCACATTGAAACAGTTGTTCAAGCAACTTGATAATATGAATATTTATTGTATTTTGGCACTTGTGTATAAAGTTAAAATCATAAATAATATTCAACGTTAAACTGGTAAACAATTAAAAGCATTTTATTTAGGCCTATCTATGGCCTTGAAAAAGTTGACGACTACATGTTTGGACGTTACAATGTCATCCTCATCGAAATATGTAGTTGTCAACTTTTTGAAGGCCATAGATAGGCCTAAATAAAATGTTTTTAATTGTTTACCAGTTTAACGTTGAATATTATTTATGATTTTAACTTTATACACAAGT